GCTGTTGTATGACTCATGCTAACACACGCTACTTTCTGAATCGGTGATCTGTTTACTATGGGGAGGGCGTAAGAATCGAGAAACGCGCGTAATTCGAATGTAGCTTGTGCCGTCGCCCCCCTTCCAAAACTGCATCGTCCCGTTGCTTCGTAGGAGATGGTTTCCAGACTCGCTCAAACAGCTTCTTGGTGAAAGCTGTTTTCAGGAAGGGGAGGTGTCCTTTCAATGGTTGAGTGTCTGTCATGATAACGTTTCATTCTTACGACATGCACAATTTCTGTGTGCTGACGCCGCCTGATGAGGATTCTTGTCCGTCCGGAACAGCTTCATAGTACAGAGAACCAATCCGTCAAAGAACGTTTTAGGGACCGAAATAGTGGTGGAGCAGCTTTCCTGACCGGCCACATACTCGTACGGGAGCCCTTCCCAAACTCTGTCGCCCTGTGCGTACTGAACGTCTCTTTGTCGCAGATTATATCTATACGTGTCAACTTGTTGCTACTGAATATGATGTCGTGCAAGCGGTCTTGCTTCTTGTGCCCTTTGTAAAAAGTCACTGATATCATGGTTGTGCTCAGACATTTCCTCTACAGGCAGAATTGCATGTAAAGTTGTGGTGACTGTCCGGTCAAAAACAAGTTGGAAAGACGTCATGCCGGTCGTCTCTTGCAGGAGCAGTGTTCTAAGCGTACGTTGCATACGGCAATATTTGGTTCTATGTTCGGTGCTCTGGATCTACATACATCGACAGCCTCTTAGCCAACGTTCTGTTCAGTAGTTTGGTTAGTCCATTTGTTCGTTGGTGGTATGCTGTCGTTTTTCTATGACTGGTGTGCGTCCATTTCATTAAGGACTATGTCAAATTAGCCGTAAACGGAGTTCCTCGATTCGTTATCACTGTAGGGGCTCCATGATGCACCAAGAAGTTGGTGATGAAAAATTCGGTGACTTCAACAGCTGATCCCCTAACTAGAAACGCCGTCTCAGCATTCGGGGTCAGATAGTCAGTTGTCACTTTGATTCAACGCTTTCCAGATGATGAAGTAAGAAATGGGCCGAGTAAGTTCATTCCCATTTGTTTAATGGTACCACTGGTGGCTCTATAGGTTGCAGGAGCCCAACAGGTTTTAATGGTGGCGTCTTACGTCTCTGGCAGTACTGACAAGTACTAACGTAGTCTTGCACAGAACTCAGCAACTTTAGCCAGCATTACTCAGTACGAATGCGTGCTACCATTCTGCTTACTCCCAAGTGTTCCAATGATGGGTCATCGTGACAGACCTTCAAGATCTCCGGACGTAATATTGAAGGTATGACGAGCAGGAACGTTGTTGTATTGTGCTCAAAGTTTATTTTACACAGGACATGATTGTGCAAGGTAAACGTCTCCAAACCACGATGAAACCCTCGTGGAACGTCAACACAGTGCCAGTTTAATTGATCAGTTGAAGTAACTCCGGGTAATATTGCTGATGATGCGCCATTAGTGATGTCACTGCTTCCAGAAAAAGAAAATCTCGCCATCTTCTGAAGAATTAGAGACCATTGGTTCAGTCGAATGCTCGAGACAAGCAATCAGCATCACTGTGCTTTCGACCGGATTTATATACCGACAATGACGTCGCTATTCCTGTAGCCGAAGGCTCCACCTTTCAAGCTTTCCAGACGGGTCCTTGAGATTAGTGAGCCAGCACAATTAATGGTAGTCACTAATGACTTGAAAACGTCTACTGTATAAATATGGCCGAAACTCGTTGATAGCCTATATGACTGCTCGACATTCATTTTCTGTTGCTCAGTAGTTCACCTCAGCGTTCAAAAGAGTTCGGCTAGCGTACGCAACTACACGTTCTTGTCCATTTTGCCACTGAATGAGTACGTCTCCAAGCCCTAAATTGCTCACATTGGTGTGGAGATCCGTGCCCGCTTCTTGGTCAAAATGAGCAAGAACTGGGTGATTCTGAAGGCACTTCCGTAGTTCTTTGAATGCCTCTTCTTGTTCACTATGCCAGCTAAAACGTGTGTCTTCCTTGGTGAGGCTCGTTAGTGGTTCAGCGATCCATGAAAAAATTTCAATGAATCGTCGGTAATAGGCACATAGTCCTAAAAATCGCCAGTCTGCCTTTTTATCTGAAGGTATGGGGAATTTTGCCACTGCCGCTGTCTTGAGATCAGGACGAACTCCTTCCAAGCTCATGACATAGCCCAGAAATAGAAGCTCTCGAAATACAAAATCTCATTTCTGTGGTTTCATCGTCAAATCTGCTGAATTGATGGCATTGAGCACAGCCCGCAGTCGTTGGACATGTTGCTCGAAGGTATTCGAGAAAACCACAACGTCATCCAGATAAAGCAGACAAGATTGCCATTCTAGGCCTGAGAACACTGTGTCTATAATCCTTTGCAAGGTCGCAGGTGCTGAACAAAGGCCAAATGGGAACACAATGAATTCGTATAAACCATCTGGTGTCACGAATGCCGTCTTCTCGCGATTATTTTCATCGACTTCTATTTGCCAATATCTCCCTTTAAGATAAAGCGAGGAAACCTACCTCACATCTCGTAGTCTATCCAGAGTGTCGTCAATTCTTGAACAGAGTAAGCATCGCGTTTAGTAATGGCGTTCAGTTTTCAGTAGTCTATGCAGAATCATAATGTCTGATTTTTCCTGTTTACAAGGACCACAGGCGACGCCCATAGGCTTGCTGACAGTTGGATTACGTCATCCCGAAGCATTTCTTAGACTTGATTTCCGAAAGCCTCTCTCTCTTTAGGTGACACTTGGTAGGGATGCTAATTTATAGGCCTCATCAATTCGTCCACAATAATACGATGTTTGGCGACAAGCGTACGTCGAACGTGCGATGATACCGAAATGTCTGCAGCGAATTTCCTTATGAGGCTTTCAATTTGTTCCTTTCGGTCGGGTAGTAATCGCGGTTCAATGTCGATGAACGCGAGTACAGAATCTATATCTGTTACACCGAATGTAGAGGTGTCAGAAGCACTCGCCTCCGTGACCTGGACGAAGTCATTGAGAGTGGCGAAGACAGTTCTCTTCGCAATATGCTGCACCTTGTTTCCAAAGTTGGTGAGCAAAACATCGGTGCATCCTCCGTGTACCTGAACAAGACCTCGTGCAATGCAGATTTCCTTTTCAAGTACCAGGCTTGTGTTGCTGTCTGTGACTCCTTCGAAATCACTGAACGCTCTGCTTGTTACCGTAACTGTTACGCACAATCTCGGTGGTACCGCGACGTTGTCGTCTGCAACACAGAGGTCATAGACGTCTTCGTCGGTGTCGAAGGTTGCGATAGCATGCCTCGTTGAAACAGAGAAATAGGGTTCTCGCAAGTTGATCACAGTACCGTTAGCTTGCGAAAAGTTCATTCCAATTATCAATCCGCTTGAGCACTCGGGCAGCACTATGACAGTTGCCGTGCACGTAAAACCCCGTGCTCCCATCGTTGCAGTGCATATTATTGTTGGGTCTATGAGGTGTCCTGCAGCTGTCCGAACTTGTGGCCCCTTCCATGGCGTAAGCACTTTCCGCAACGTTTTCGAAAGCTCATGGCTCATTACCGAATAATCTAGGCCTGTGTCCACCAGCGTGATCACTTCGTAGGCATCAACAAGCACGCGCAAATCAGAACTGACGTCGTTGTTACAGCACCGGTTGCCGAGTCTGTCATCGTCGGTTGCAGTCAGCGATGGAGGTTTTTGTGCTTCAGCGTCGACAGCGGCTTTGCCTCCCCAGGTCGCTGATTTTAGTTTTCCTGACATGGGATCGGTGAGCGGCGTTTTGGAGAGCTTGCTGAAAGACGGGGTCTCGACGACCGATACCTCGAGGACGTTGTTGATCGAAGATAATGTTGAAAGTCACACGAGTCTTGAAGAGTTGCGATGTATTATTCAATTTTTATTGGGTGCTCATCATTCCGTGGTCAAAGTGCTTTTACAGGGAAGCCACGAAATCCCGCCTGTCAATAATGACGCGTTCGGTAAAGATGGCTGGCCTATCTACAGCGGTAGCACAGTGGTGTATCCTATCGGGAGTGCGCCAGATTTCTCAGTCTCCTCTCTGGTGGTAGCTGCATTGTGTTTGGGGACATCAGGTGCTGCACACGGGCCGTGGATGCGATGTCTGCATGTCCGGGAGTTCTTCGTAGTAGGACATCGGCGTAGGACAAACTTCGCTGACGTGGTAGTGGCACTTGTGTATAGGCACTTAGATGGGGTGCATTCTCTGTGTGTGTTTCCTGTACTGCCTGTCGAACTTCCTCATGAATCACATTGGCTAGTGATGAAATCACTAGAGCATTCTATCCAAGCCGCTGTTTCTGGAGTTCTCGTACTACAGACCGTACCAGCTTCCACAACATCTCCATGCTGTTTCCAAAGGCTGCCGGCTGTGCGTCCAAAGAGGCCGTGTTCACCTCTCTGCTGTACATTCTTGCTTGCTGTTGCTGCGTTATTTCCAGCGCAGCCGCCTCGGAACAAAACTCAGCGACGGTGCGTGGTGGGCTGCGAACCAGGCCGGCAAACAGTTCCTGTTTTACCCCTCGCATTAGGTGACCACAGTTTTTCCTCCTCGATGATGTTGGAATCTGCTCGGTGGAATAGGCGAGACATATCCTCTAAGTACATAGCCCCGCTTTCGTTGTTGCGCTGGCTTCTCGCTTGGAGGGCAGTTTCGGCTCTCTTTCTGCGATCTGTACTCGGGTAAGTTGTGAGCAGCTCCCGCCAGAAGCCGTCCCATGACCGCATGAAAGATTCGTGGTTTTCGAACCTCGTTCGAGCGCTATCCTCCAATGTGAAGTAAACGCGTCACAATCTGCGACATGCGTCTCATCCGTTGGACTTCGCATCACGTTGGAATTGTTCTAGCCAATCCTCCACGTCTTCGTAGACCTCGGCATGAAAATGCTTCGGCGTGAGTAGGGGATTCACAACGATGTTAGCTGGCGCAACAAGAGTTGTCAGGTCACCGGCGTTTGGGTTCACAGCCGTTGAGAGTCTGATAAAAGTGAAAATTGGGGGGCCTCATGGCGCAAACGCCTGCTGCAGCGCTGGTGGACTGGGGAGCTTGTATTCAAGTCGCTTTGGCTCTGGGCTGCGTCCCGGGACTTGAGAAGGGCTTGGAATAATACCCCGCACTTCCGTCAGTTTGTAACGAATAATTAAAGGGTACTATTTAATCAAACAAAATGGTTGGGGTGAACTTGTGCTCAAGAAACAGATGACTAAATGTCTTTGTCCACTCCAGCCAATAGTCCCTTCAAAACATCTACCTCGTCTTTCTCTTTCTCTACCGTTTTCTCGTGAGGCTGCTACGCCTCACGAGAAACTACGCACGCCCCTGCCCGATTTCAACGAGGTCCCACATATGGCCGTACAGAAACACAGCTGTGCACGCCGAACGGGTCATCCACTCAAGCCATTGGCTGAAGGGCAAGTCACCCGCATACGTGGTAAGAACTGGGCAACAAAGGCCAAGGTGGTCAGCATGACGCGACCGAGGTCACACCACGTCGTCACGGAAGACGGCAACGTTTTTCGGCGTAATCGACAGCACCTGCTCGCAACTACCGAGTTCTTCCACCCCTCCGCCGAAGACTTGGCCGATGAGAACACCGATGCACCGATAGAGCAAGCTCCACCTCTGGTCCCGCGTTCGGAGGAGCCGCAAGTGCCCAGAAGATCGACCCGAGATAGAGCACACCGTCGACTGGGCTACGATGACAATTTTGTGCAAATTCCGTAGTTACGTTCTTTCTTGATGTTTATTTGGTTTTTTCCTTCAGAGAAAAGAGGATGTATCGTGTTTAGGCGCGGCTGAGCGAGCGCGCGTGCGCAGGCAGTCTACTGCACACGCTATCTGTTTCCTTATCTCCGCCTTGCACTGTATAAAACGAGCGCACAATAAACCAAGGTGATTCTTCGCTGGGAGACGGCTGGCATCGGTTCTTGATAAGTACGAAACAGCTTTCTCAGGTCTCTCAGAAAGTGTTCCGTAGACTCGCCTTCGTCTTGAACGCGTTGACGAAACACGTAGCGCTCATGCACTTCATTTAGCTGCTCGGCAAAATACTCATCGAACTTCTTGATTACTGTGGCGTAATCATTCCGGTCCTCTCCTTGGTCGAAGGAGAAGTTGTTGTACACTTCGGGAGCGTCGTCGCCGGCTATGCTGAGCAGCAGTGCAAGCTTGGTGGGACCCGGCGTTGGCGCTTCGTTGGATGCCGCCGACCTTGAAGCAGCTCTCCTGGGGACCGGCCGTCGTCCAATGGGCTGGCCCTGTAATTCAAAAGTCCCAACCAGAAATCATTGTTTCCTTCCTTCGTCTTTTTCAGAATTCTCTTCACTATTTGCACTCCTTTCTCTGCCAGACCGTTTGATCGCGGAAACAAGGGACTCGATGTGGTATGCTTGAAGTCAAACTTTCTTGAGAATGCTGCAAATTCTTGGCTAGCAAACTGTGGCCCGTTGTCGGTGCACACTTCCGCCGGTATTCCGTATCGTGCAAATATCGCGCTTAGCTTTTCGATAACTGTAGCAGCCAATGTGTCGTACAGAGGCTCTACCTCTGGAAAATTGAATAGCGAGTCATACGCACACAGGAATGCTTCGCCGGCGTAGTGAAAAATGTCGACACCCACTCTAAACCACGCATGCTCCGGCACGGGTCTCATCATGAGAGGCTCACTTTCTTGTTTGTAAGAATATTTTCTGCAAGTTGCGCAATTCTTGACAACCTGTTCGACGTCTGCGCAAAGTCCTGGCCAGAAAACTAAACGGTGGGCTCGGGATTTGCACTTGTTTATTCCCATATGCCCATCATGAATCCTGTTCAACATCTCACGGCGCATGCTTTGCAGTATAACAGCTTTGCATCCTTTGAGCAATACGCCGTTGACCACCGAGAGTTCTCCGGCGAAGGGTTTGAGTTCTCCGTCCACAGGTTGCCTGTTTTGCAGGCACTCAAGGACAGTTCTCAAGTACCTGTCGTTTTGAGTCTCCCTTGCCAGTCGTACTTGCGTGGCCTCGCTGATCAGTGCCTGCACAGTTGTAACGGCATGAATCTCGACGTCTTCGTCCGCCTCCTCGTCTGGTGGTCCCACGGAAGCCCTCGACAGCAGGTCGGCCAAAACCAATTCTTTACCGGGGACGAACTGCAGGTGGAAGCGGTATTTCAGCAAACGCAAGAAAAAACGCTGCAATCTCGGTGGCATGTCGCCGATAGCTTTCTGTCCGAAAGCAATCAGCGGGCGGTGATCCGTTTCAAGTGCAATGGTACGCCCGTACACAAAGTAATGGAATTTCTCGCACCCGAAAACAACAGCCATCGCCTCTTTTCGATCTGGGAATACCTTTTCTGGGCCTCGGTCAACACGCGCGAGGCATAAGCGACTGGCTTCCACGCGTTATCATAACGCTGCATTAGCGCGGAACCTATGCCATTCTGCGACGCATCGGACGTTATCTTTGTGTCTCGCTCAGGATCGAAAATTGCAAGCACCGGCTTCTTGCTCAAACAGGCGCAGAGTTGTTCCCATTCCTTGGCGTGATTAGCATTCCATTCGAACGCGGCATCTTTTTTCACTAGCCGTCGCATTTGCAGAGTCTTCTCAGCTAGTGCTGGGACGAACTTGGAAAAATAATTCACCACGCCTAGCATGCGTTGTACGCCATGCTTGTCAGTCGGTGGTGGCATATTCCGCATAACGTTTATGGATTCAGGGCTTGGCTGTATTCCTTTTGCGGATATGATATCGCCGAGGAAACAAACTTCGGACACTCCTATGTCGCACTTTGCGGCATTGAGTGTTAGCCCCGCTTTTAGCGCTGCTTCCAAGACAGTTCGAAGCCTTTCATCGTGCTCGTCCCTCGTCGCGCCCCAAATAAGAATGTCATCGACGTACACGCGTACACCTGGTATGGACTCGAAAATCTGACCAACCGTTTTTTGAAAAACTTCCGACGCCGAGGCTATTCCGAAGAGAAGTCGCAGAGAGCGATAACGCCCAAATGGAGTGGCAAACGTGCATATTTTTGAAGTCTCTTCGTGCAGCGGTATTTGATGAAACCCTGAAGTTGCATCCAAGCGAGAAAAAATGGTTGCGCCCGCAAGCTCAGCCTCAATATCTTCTCAGCGTGGCATTTCAAAATGTTCTCGCTTCAGGCATTCATTAATTTTTCTGGGGTCCATGCACACTCTCAATTTGCCATCCCTTTTTCTGGTAATTACCAAAGGACTCACCCAGTCCGTAGGCTCTTGTACCTTGGCCACGATGCCTGCCTTTTCCATGCGGTCGAGTTCCTGTTTGAGGGGCCCTTGTAGTGCCAGTGGCACCCGTCGAGCTGGCTGGATGACAGGAACGGCGTCGTCCCGCAGCACCATCCGGTATTGCCGTTGAAGACATCCCGTGCCGCTGAACACTTCTTGGAACTGCTTGACGACTTGCTCACTTGTAGTCGTAGAAACTACATTCACCGAGCGTGAGAACAAGCCGAGCAGCTCACTTGCTTGTAGTCCTAATAGCGCTTGACGTCCTTTCTTGACGACAAAGAAGTCGATGTCGGTTGCTTTGGTGGAGAGCGCCAGTTTTACAGTGACAATACCCAGGTGTTTGACGATTCCTCCGTCATACGTACGTAGAACAGAGTTGCTGGCCCTTAATCGCGACCTGAGCTGCAATTTTTTATACACGCTGTACGGCAGCAGATTTGCTTGGGCGCCAGTGTCGACCTTTAGGTGTAGTACGTGATGACCGACATGGGCTTGAACGATCCAGTCTTTTTGCTGCAAAATGGCATCTACAGATACTTCCATAATCTGGAAATCTTCGTCGCTGTCCTCAACTTCAGCGACCTGCTTGGTGGTTTTGCAACGGACGGCAAAGTGATTTTCCCCCCCGCATTTTCTGCACATGCGTCCAAATGCTGGGCATTTCCGAGGACCATGCACTCGCCCACACCTCTGGCACTTAAACTCAGCGGGTTATTCAGCGCCTCTAGGCCTCGCCTTAACTGGGTCGACTTGTTGCTCTCGGGTCCACATGTCGTTTCGGGCGGCGGAGACTTCGGCAGCTTTGCATAGCTGTTCTGCTGTCGCAAGAGTCAGCTTGTTGTCACGAAGAAGCTTTTCGCGTACTTTGTCACATTTTGTTCCGAACACAAGCTGATCCCTAATCATTGATTCCGTCATTGTGCCAAAGTTGCAGGACTGCGCCAGCTTTCTCAGGTCTCTCAGAAAGTGTTCCGTAGGCTCGCCTTCGTCTTGAACGCGCTGACGAAACACGTAGCGCTCATGCACTTCATTTAGCTGCTCGGCAAAATACTCATCGAACTTCTTGATTACTGTGGCGTAATCATTCCGGTCCTCACCTTGGTCGAAGGAGAAGTAGTTGTACACTTCGGGAGCGTCGTCGCCGGCTATGCTGAGCAGCAGTGCAAGCTTGGTGGGACCCAGCGTTGGCGCTTCCTATGATGCCGCTGGCGCTGAAGCAGTCAAAAACAGCTCAAACATTTGCTTGAACAGGCGCCAATTCTTGCTAATATCACCTGCGGCGGCTGCATTTCCGATGGAGGCGGAAATGTTGTAGGCCCGTGTGCTCAGATTTGGGTGCACGTTAAAGAACCCCAGGTGGTCTAAATTTCCGGAGCCCTCCACTACGGCGTCTCTCATAATCATATAGTGGTTTTGGGACGTTAAACCCCACATATCAATCAATTGCTAATATCACCATTCAGCCGCAGATGCTCGGGCGGTTTCAGCAAAACTTCCATACCGCTTCCGTCCAGTTCCGCCGTGGTCGTGGTACCGTCTTTCAATGCCGAGACTCGCCCGTGCCCACTTCTGACACCATGTTTCGTACTTATCAAGAACCGATGCCAGCCGTCTCCCAGCGAAGAATCACCTTGGTTTATTGTGCGCTGGTTTTATACAGTGCAAGGTGGAGAGAAGGAAACAGATAGTGTGCGCAGTAGACTGCCTGCGCACGCGCGCTCGCTCAGGCGCGCCTAAACACGATGCAGTTGTATAGCTCGTACTAACACAGTCTACTTTCTGAATTGGTGATCTGTCCACTATCGCAAGGGCGTTAGAATCGGAAATCGTGCGTAGTTTGAATGTTGCTTGTGGGAATATTTACATGTTTAAAGTAATGTAGAACAACATGACACTTGTGCTTCTCTGCGCTCGCGTTTTATACACTCTGTCTTCCCAAGATTTTCTGCGAGGGAAGACAAATGAGTCCAGTTCCTTCCAATGAGATGGTCCTCCTGCACTCCGCCCCGAGCAGGCAGTCAGACCTGGTTGTAGAAAATTGCAAGGGCTCGCATACATTGTTGTACAGGGAGGAGCGCTGCGACACCACTGGCTCCGTTTAATGACCTGGAACTCCTCGCGTAGAGGAGACTCTTCGGGTGGCAAGATTCCAGGTTGACTCATCCAGCGCAGCTCGCTCCTCGCAGGCCCCAAAGACAACAACACAGCAAGGCACGGCCGCTGGCCAAGGAATGTGGAAAATGTTCTCGCTGATTAAGTCCAGATGCGAGGCCCATTGTATGACGTGACTCGAAGAGGAGGCTATAGTCGTTCTTCCGGGTGACAGTTGTTCCTAAAGGGTTTTTGGTCCGCGGGCCCAGAAGACTCGCCGCACCACCGCTGTACTTGAAACTGCCTTGGATTGTCGCTCCACATAGGACGATGATTTCCGGTAGAGACTGGTAAGGCCGCGTCACAGCATCTCTATAACATGCACTGCATGTGAGCTTCTTAACCCGTCGTCAGTAAGCACTTGGTCCAGTTCAGAGAAGACAATGTACTTTACCCCCAGCAAGATGGTTTGTGCAAGCGCTTATGAACAGTTACACAACTTTTCGAGACAATGCAGTATTTGACAAATGCTATAAGCCACAAAGAACAGCTTGATGTTATTTACTGAGATTTCTCTAGGGTGCTTCATAAAGTCTTTCACGTGAAACTAATACGAAAAATTGGCAGATCCCACCTACAATGGGAATCAATCATATGCGAAGCACGAATGAGGAAGGTTGATATGTTACATTAAAATCAGCACAGCGCAACGAGCCTGGCGTAAATCATGCCGTACATGATTTCCATATTATTATTATCATGTTTGGACGTGCATTTTACCGTCGCCGCCTATTCACGTCACATCATACCTAATTTGATATATGTGGAGCCAGGGAAACGGCTGCAAGCACGCTATGAGCCTAGCATGTAGGCATGTGTCACTTGACATTTATTCCGTGATCATCCTGATTGAACGTGTCATTGGGCTTCGTCATCCATTCACGTCAAGTAATACCAAATTTGGTGTAAATAAAGCAAGCAAAACGGCCATGAGCGCGCTATGAGCGTAGCATGTAGTCATGTTTTACATGACACACATGTAATGATTGTCACGTTTGGACGTGTCCTTTACCCCCGTCATCCGTTCACGTCACGTGATAACAAATTTTGTATATGTTGAGCTGGTGAAACGGCCGCGTGCTCCCTATGAGCGCAGCTTGTATTCATGTTTTACATGGCACCGATGCCATAATTATCATGTTTGCACCTGTCATTTACCTTCGTCAGTCATTCAGGTGACGTATCACGAAATTTGGTTATGTGAAGCTAGCAAAACAGCCATAAAACACACGGTATGATTATCATGTTTGGACGTGTCATATACCTTCGTCGTTCTTTGGTGTCACGTAATATAAAATTTGGTATATGTGATGCTAGCGAAACGGCCAAGAACGCATCGTGAGCGTGACATTTAGTCATGTTCTTACGTATCACACACTTCATAGTTATCATGTTTGCACAAGTTATATACCTTCGTCATGCATTGACGCCCCGTAATACCAAATTCGGCATATGTGAAGCTAGCGTAACGACCGCGAGCGCACCATGAGCGTGGCGTGTGGTCATGATTTATATCTCATTATATTGTCACGACGCAGACACAGCAGGAGTTCGATATAGAAGAGCTCACTTTAATTAAAAATGAAAGGCGCTCGTAAAGAGGACCGGGCAAGAGCTTCGTCTTCTTCTCTGGCTGTGCGAGCTCTCCTCTGCAGGTCGAATGCGGCATTTGCCTCCCTCCAGGAAGAGCATCGACCCGATGCTCGGCTACAGAATACGCGGTGTATGTAGTTGACGTATTACGCAACTGGCTCACTGCAATATGGCTTCATCCGCACAACGTGTACGATTTCAGATTTTTGAGCTCGCGAGGAACTGTCAGGGATGACCTCATAATTCACGTCACTTAGGCGCCGTATAACATTGTAGGGACCAAAGTACTTCTTCAATAACTTTTCACAAAGGCCGCGTCGGCGAATAGGGCTCCAGACCCACACTTTCTCGCCTGGTTGATAAGTGACGTATCGGTGTCGCAGGTTATAACGTTGTGCGTCATAACTCTGCTGTCGGGCGATTTGCACGCGTGCTAGCTGCCGTGCCTCTTCAGCTCGTTGGGTAAAGGCTTGAACATCCGTGTCTGTATCCTCGCAGTCGGGCAGCAGCATGGCATCAAGCATTGTCGTCACTTCACGGCCATAAAGAAGACTAAATGGCGTGCTCCGCGTAGTTTTCTGCTGCGCCGTATTATAAGCAAACGTCGCGTATGGTAGAACGTCGTCCCAATTTTTATGATCCACGTCGATGTACATACTAAGCATATCAGCAATTGTCTTGTTGAGGCGTTCTGTTAAGCCGTTGGTTTGTGGGTGGTAGGAGGTAGTTTTTCGATGCGCTGTTCCACTCAACTCAAGCACTGACTTGAGGAGCATGGCCGTGAAAGCGGTACCTCTGTCTGTTATTATAATTCTAGGAGCACCATGCCTCAGAACGATATTTTCAATGAAAAATCATGCCGCTTCTACTGCGGTTCCACTTGATAAAGCCTTTGTTTCTGCGTAGCGAGTAAGATAGTCCGTAGCGACAATTACCCACTTATTTCCAGTATGCGAAGTCGGAAATGGTCCAAGGAGATCCGTTCCGATTTGTGCAAAAGGCATGGTGGGCACTTGAACTGGTTGCAACAATCCGGCTGGTTTTAAAGGTGGCGATTTTCGTCGTTGACAATCGAGACACGTGCGGACGTAATGCTTTACAGTGCCTGGAAGCTTCGGCCAGTAGTACTTTTGTTGGATTCTGGCCAATGTGCGCGTGTATCCGAGGTGGCCGGAGGTTGGCTCATCGTGGCAAGCGCTCAGGATCTCATCGCGAATGGATGTCGGGACGACAAGTAAGTGGGCATTTCCGCTGGGGGCAAAGTTCTTCTTGTATAGGACACCACTGCGCAAGCAGAATGATGGCAGGCTCCTTGCAAATATCTTGGGAACGCTTGTAGACTGGTCGTTAAGAAAATTAATAAGATGGAGCAACTCACTGTCTTCTTTCTGCTTAGACGAAATGGTGACCGTGTCGACCACTTCTACAAATGCCATGTCATCATCTTCTGAGACATCATCTTGCTTTATTAGCGACCTGGATAAGCAATCAGCATCAGAGTGCTGTCTTCCCGACTTATAGACGACCGTCATATCGAATTCTTGTAGGCGTAAGCTCCAGCGCGCTAGCCGACCGGATGGGTGCTTCAAGTTGGTCAGCCAGCAAAGAGAGTGGTGGTCGCTGACTACGTGGAAGGGACGGCCGTAGAGGTATGGGCGAAACTTCAGAACTGCCCATACTACAGCAAGACATTCCTTTTCCGTTGTGGAATAATGGGACTCGGCACGGGAAAGCGTCCTACTTGCATATGCAATCACTCTCTCGGCTGAGTCTTGCCACTGGACGAGTACAGCGCCTAA